ACTTTCAGACTACTATAACTACACCATAAAAAAATTACAAAATACCAAGCTGGTTACTTCTTTTATTCTATTTATTTTACGGTATCAGAGATCATACTTAGGTCCTCACATATACAAGGCAAGTGCTCTTCTGATCAGCTTCAGCCTTAGCTCTAATGAATTATTTTAAAAAGAAACGAAATTATCTTATCATTTAAGAATAAAAGTAGCATCCCCAAATATTATCTTACTCATCACAAAATGACGAACCATGACTGTAAATAATTAGAGAATAAATCAAATGATAGTAGTGTCCATGGGACGGCCATAGCTGAACGTGGTAATATACTGTATAGCTGCAGCAGTAACATAAAAAGTGGAAATAATCCAAGGCACTGGGTGCAATACTCCTTACTAATAATTTATTTTGGCGCTGAATTGTACATTTAACTGCAAATTTCTTTAAGGAAAGTTCTGGACATCCATATCTGAGGAGTAAGCAGTCAAAACCAAAGAAATATGCAAGAGCTTATGGAAGAATCACATGGCACATACTGAAATGTTAGACGAGCACATAGAAGCAAAAGACATATAAAATTCAGTGAAGAGGAGAAATAAAAAGCAACAGATACAAGAAATTGAAAAGAAATAAAGATAAATTCATAAAACATTTTGGACATACTGAAAACTAATTTTCCAAAAGCTGAACTGTGAAGTTTTAAAATGATTGCACATGAGATTATACTGTAATACATTTCATTTTTCATTTCATCATCCTGTTATTCGTTGATTGCCTCGAGCAGGCCCCAGTAACGTCTCTTTCATCCTAGCCCTGAGATTATATTTAAGGCTCTTTAGGAGAATGAGACCCATCATTGTTACTGGTATTTGGCATATTTGGTATGCCACGGGGAGTTTGCCAGACTCTGCCCTGTGGGCAGGCTACATTCGATAGCCTGCAAGTTTGTCCAAAGTAGGAATGAGATAATAAGATGTCATAAAAAGATGTCCTGATAAGACGTCGCGTGGCCGCAAATGCGACTGCGCGGTTCCAGGAGCTGGATTTTATAGTCTCTGAGTCTTGGTCGTTGATGGGATTACACGGCGCCAGGGGGCCAGGTGGTGGGTGTGACCCCCGCCTACTGGGATTTGGAGGATCTGGGTGGAAGATGCTCGACTCCAGTTCGAGTAGGCTTGGAGATCTCGGCCCCGGAACCCGCGTGGCTTTGCTTACTGTAATACACTCTGCTAAAATGACAATAGTCCAAGGAATCACAATATGGAAAAAAAAAACAAATAATTTACAATGTAATTTCATTATTTCCAAATTAGTAAATAAACTTTAAATGAAAATTATGGAGAAGTTATTAATATAACAAATGAAAGTTTTAGTATTTCTTTATAGCACTGTAGCACTGTCCTCCCATTGTTCATCGATTTACTAAATTTTGGTTAGAAGCTCCAAGAAGTACAAATATGCAGAATAATTTATAATAAGTCAGTCTTATAGTAATGTGTAAGAAGTCAGTCTGTATAACTTCTTTAAGGCTTTAACCTTTGTTAGGCATATTACAGTGAAGTTCAGTGTTTCTTCTTAGTGTATCCTATCTTGTTCTGAATCCTGTAAATGCCTTAAAACACTGTTATGAAAAAACAAAGTTCTAAGGTTTTTAAAATACCAGAACAATTGATAACATGGTAAATTGTTTTATAGTGTATTTAGAACTGTATAAACTAATTTATATCTGTAGCACTGTAGCATTGTCCTCCCATTGTTCATTGATTTGCTCGAGCGGGCACCAGTAACGTCTCACAACAAACTGTGAGACTTGTTACTACTGTTTTTGGTATATCCAATACATCACAGTTAGCTTGTCAGGCTTTGCTGTACGAGCGAGATACTCTCGGTAGCTTGCCAGGCTCTCCAAGAGGGGCGGAGGAATCAAACCCAGGTCGGCCTCATGCAAGGCAAATGCCCTACCCGCTGTGCTCATATTGATATATATGTATGAAAAACATTTTTCACCTTTTTTCCCTATTGTTACTGTGTCTGGCATATCGAATACTCTCGGTAGCTTGCCGGGCTCTCCGAGAGGGGCGGAGGAATCGAACTCGGGTCGGCCATGTTGGCTGCGTGCAAGGCAAACGCCCTACCCACTGTGCAATGAATACACTGCTGCTGAATACCCACCAAGTCCTTATTAGGAAAGCCAAGATGAAAAACAACCTGGTGCTCAGAGCAAGAAAACACAGCCCAAGATGTATCCTCTTATTTTATCAGTTCAAACATTAAAAGTTAGATAAATCTTTCATTTAGAGGAGCACAAGTAAAGACAAGGATCATATTTTATTTTTATTCCTTAAGGGATAAGCTTTATTTCCTTCTACTTGATTGTGCTTCTTCCCTAAGCTATTTCCTAATTCTTCATGATTTTCCACCTCCATCTTGCCAGAACAGAACTTGAAATATAAAATGAAAATGAAAGAGAGGGTGTGTGAGAACACTTCTGAAATAGTTAAGGTAAAGCCAAAATTAAAAAGGTTTTGCTGTCCCCCAAATACACATCCGACAAGGGGTTGATATCAAGGATATACAAGGTACTGGTTGAACTCCACAAGAAGAAAACACCCAACCCCATCAAAAAATGGGGTGAGGAAATGAACAGAAACTTTCGCAAAGAAGAAATCCGAATGGCTAAAAGGCCATGAGAAAATGCTCTACATCATTAATCATCAGGGAGATGCAGACCAAAACGAGATATCATTTCACACCACAGAGACTGGCCCACATCCACAAGAACAAAAGCAACTGGTGCTGGCGCGGATGTGGCGAGAAAAGGACCCTCCTTCACTGCTGGTGGAAATGCCAACTGGTCCAACTCTTTTGGAAAACAGTATGGACGATTCTCAAAAAATTAGAATTTGAGCTCCCATTTGACCCAGCAATACCGCTCCTGGGAATATATCCCAGAGAGGCAAAAAAGTATTGTCAAAGTGACATCTGCACTTGTTTGTTCATTGCAGCACTCTTTACAATAGCCAGAATCTGGAAAAAACCTGAGTGCCTGAGAACAGATGACTGGTTAAAGAAACTTTGGTACATTTACACAATGGAGTACTATGTAGCTGTTAGAAAAGATGAAGTCATGAAATTTACATACAAGTGGTACTACATGGAAAGTATCATGTTAAGCAAAATGAGTCAGAAAGAGCAGGATAGACACAGAAAGATTGCATTCATCTGGGGAACATAAACCAACAAAATGGGAGACTAACACCCAGGAGTGGCTGAGATTAGTACCAGGAATTTTGCCCCATGACTCGGAGGGCAGCCACACGTGCTAGGGGAAAAGGAAGCTAAGATAGAGAAGGGAGCACCAAATAAAGGGTTTTGGGAGGATCCTCCCAGGATGGGAGAAGCATGCTGAAAGTAGACTATAGACCAAACATGATTGCCACTCAATGCCTCTCTTGCAAACCACAGAACCCAAAAGGAGAGTGAGAGAACAAAAGGGAATGCCCTGCCACAGAGGCAGGGTGGGATAGGGGGGATGGGGGGTGGGAGGGATACTGGGACCCGTGGTGGTGGAAAATGGGCACTAGTGGAGGGATGGGTACTTGATCATTGTATTACTGAAACCCAAACACAAAAATTTGTAAGTCTATAACTGTACCTCAAGGTGTTTCACTAATAAATAAATAAATAAATAAAAACTTTACAAATATATCTTTTAAAAAAAAAGGGTTTTGCTGTCCCTTTTTGGGTATCTCACATTTAGCTACAAGTGAGTCCTGAGAGTCTGACTTACAAACTACAGGCTTCTCTCACTGTGTTGTTATATAGAACAGGTTTTATTTAGCACCAACAGAAAAGATACAGCTCTCCAATCAGAGCTCTATAGCCACTTCAAACTCTTTTCTCCCTTGAACCAAAACTAGATATACTGAAAGGCATGGGTTCCTAATGGGAATCTTTTATGGTCATTCTTTCATCCAGAACTCCCAATAAACTGTTTCCCAAATCCACGGCACTCACTAGGGAGCAATTTTACAACTTTCAAAATGGCAAAGAGCTTCACTAACATGTACGACAGTATAAGTCACTGTGCCACTGTCTCCTCCAAAGCCATCAGAAGCCTTGGGATGGAAGACAAAGCCTATAACCTTAAAACATAAAAGTATCAGTCACTTAACCTCTGTGACTTCCCATACCAGTATATAAAAATGCGTATAAAAATAGCTATTTGAGGAGCCAGTGCTGTAGCTCGGTGTAGAGTTCATGGCTTATATGTATGTAGTCCTGATTTGATCCTTGGCATATAAGAAACATCACAACAAAAAGACCACTACTTCCAGGGAACTGATAAACACTAAATAATTGGGACACTGTCTAAAAATTGATACTTTATAAGAAACTTATTTTCACTGTAGAAAAGATAAAATTCCCTTAGGAAACTTTTCTTGGGTGGAAGGTGAAAAGGGGGTGGGTTTTTGAAAACTCATCAGTGATCAGAGGCTATTCCTGGCTCTGTGCTCAAGAGTGACCTCTTGGTGGTGCTATATATATATATATATATATATATATATATATATACAAATAAACAAAAGAATGGGAGGGCCACGATGGGAGCAACCCAATAAACCTAAACTACCTGAGGCTATGCAGGAAGGACAAAACAGTATTATCCTACACCACCAAGGTCTGGTGGTCTAACCCTTGCACCATCCTTTCAGCCCCCAGGAAATTTTCATGTGCCCATTAGATAAGTGAAGCTACCAAACACTGAGGAACTACCTGGTTCTCTCTCCTCAAACCACTTTCAAGTGCCAAGGCAGGGAGGAATTCTATTCTGCCCCATGATATGCCACATACAATTTACAATGAAAATTTGGGCCTACGATTTGAGAAATGGCATTCAGGCTTGGGGGACCACCAAATAACACAAGATCAGTGACATTAAAATTTAGAAATAAAGGTACTTAAAGTTACCAAGCAACCTTTTGGAAGTCTATACACTTACCAGACCTTAAAAATGCTGGCTGAGAAGAGACGACTGCATCAGGTAAGTTGGCCATATCAAATTGTTGACTCTAATCATAAGTGTTGCAGGCTAAACTACAGCAATTTTCAAAACTGTTTAGTAGAAGTTAGAAGCAATCAGCATTAGATTAATTGAAAGCAGTGTGAGCAGTTATTAACATGCAGTGCACAACAAAGGCAATAATTGAGGTTCATTCATTATACATTTATTTTCTCCGTTATAATTTGAAAATTTGATTTCCTTTGGCTTGATAAATTACATTTGCTTATATGAATTAGACAGGGAAGATAAAATATCTGCTTTATTAAACAGTAGGTAAGGGTAGCATCCTCTGTTTAACTGTGAAGTGATTATGCTACTATGTAACAATGTGTAGTTAGCGACTTTGCAGTGACGTCTCTAGCACATAGGGTTAGTTCAAATTTCAAACAAAGCTGGGTTTTATATATTCAAGTCTTACAAGTAATAGAATCAGGTTGATAACTTGTGACACAGTACAGCTAATGATTCACTCAAGAATTATATGGTTTACATCTGAGTTAACAGATTCTGAAACCTTTAACTTCTAACTTGTGGAATGACTTCAAGGGGTATCTCTTTTACAACTAATGATGCAAACATACAGGAATAGCTAAATATTGTACTAGTCAACTACTTTGCATGTTGAAACTGGATTTAAGTGACTACATTCAACTGATTCAATATAATTAGAATTTTTAAAAATAATTAAATAGAAATAAGCCTACTTTTATGACATGCATTTAGATAAAGATTGAAGAAAAATTCTATTAAAGGAAAAAGAAAAATGTAAAAACTCAGTTACTCTGACTAGATATTGCCATTCCAATTGTAATTAGCACTGAACTATTTCAACTTGACACAAATTTTTAAGAAAAAAATAAAAACACATGACTTCAAGAAACTATTGACTCTAAAGTATACTGGAAACTCTTCTGTCAGTTTAGCCCTAGCTTTGCTGAAATTCTAAACATATAAACACAGAACTCTTGAAATTTAAAAATAGAATGAAATTAGAAACAAACATTGGTGAAATTCTTCTGCATGATTATTTTGTCAAATTAAAAACAAAACAAAACAAAAAAAGGAAACCCCAGCACAACAGACAGCCAGTACTTCATAAAGGAGAAAAGCAACATAATGGGGCCACACACACAGAAATCCCAATTTCAATGCAAGATACTTTTTTTTTTTTAACCACTAGTCTCTTGGTGCTCTTAAATTAGCAATCTGGACTAAAATTTCTCAACATTGAAAGACAGTATTATCCATCCTTCATAAAAAAGTAGAATTTTAGCTAAAGACTTGTGATCCCCTCATCTTTTCTGAATTATATACGGCCAGTCAGAAAATGGAGAAGTTCCGATCCCAGTTTTCAGGGGAGTTTCTAAGCTACAGGTTTTAAATTCAAAGTCATGACTTTGCAGTTTGATCAAGTCAGTTCGGGACACTTGAACCGACATCATTGCAGAGTATCTTCTGAGCTCTTGGCCTGGGGTTTAGGAGTCACAACTCAGAACTAGGAGTTCTGGGCACTTGCCCAGAGAAGGGCCTTCTGAACCCTTAAGTGGGCTCAACTTGACTCTCTTCGTGGCCCCGAGGCCTCAGTCCCACGGATAACGGGACAGAGCATGTTTTTGTGGAACTTAAAGGGAAGCTTGTAACAAAGTACCTCGCAGCTGCGGATTTTTACCCACCAGCTCAGAGGGTCCCGTCAAGGAATGACTTTTGGAAAGACAGCGGGAGGGCACATCCTGAGGCTGGGAAAATGCCTGCTTCTTCCCAATTTCTAATTAAGGGGTGGGTCTAGGCAAAGTCAGCCCCACCGGTTCCCGGGGACGCGGGGGTTCACACTTGATATAGTTGGGGGGAGGGGGCACTCGTGGGGGCTGCTTCACCCGAGACACATATGCCTCCCGCAGCAAGCTCTCAACGGGGGGGGGGGGGGGCACCACCCACGGAGCAGGGAAGGAGGGGGTGGCGCTCCAGCCAACCAAACCTGAGCGCTTGGCCCGGGCTCTTTGCTCCAAGACCTTCCAATTCACTTCGGTCGAGAGCCCCGCCAGCCCCGCCATGGTGCTCCGGCCGCCGCTCGGCCACGGCCCGCGGGACCCGCCTGTCAGCGCCGCCGGGCTGGCCCCGCCCCCCGCGCGACACTGTCGGGAGGCGCGCCTGCCGGAAGTGAGCGGGCGGACGAGCTTCCACCTCATCCCGCGGCCCCCGGGGCTCCCGAGAGGCAACCGAGGGGAGCGTGAGAGCGGGGGCGGTGTCGCCTCGCCGCAGCTTGCGGGGGCCGCGTGGGGGGCTTCTTTCGGCGGCGCGCGGCGCTTTCCGGCTGCCGTCAAGCGCGGCGCTGGGCCGTCGGGCGGGGGCTGCGGGGCTGCCATGGCGGCGGCGGCGGGCCGGCTGCCGAGTTCCTGGGCGCTGCTGGCGCCGCTGCTTGGGGGGCTCGCGCTCCTGGGAGTCGGGCCGGTTCCGGCACGGGCGCTGCACAACGTCACAGCCGAGCTCTTTGGGGCCGAGGCCTGGGGCACCTTGGCGGCCTTCGGAGACCTCAACTCCGACAAGCAGACGGACCTCTTCGTGCTGCGGGAAAGTCAGTGCTTGCCTGGCCCTTCCTCTGTCCACCGTCCCTGTGCCTGTCCCAGTGTTCCCCCCACACCCCTTGCCCAGATGGCGGGTCGCCTGCGTTTCCCGGGCCTTCTCTCCCAAGCCCTGTCTCTCCCCCTGTATCTACAGCACCTTGACAGCTTGCCCGTTTGATCCATCTTGTCCAGTCCCAGGTCCTGGCCCTGTCACCCCAACACAGTGTGGTCTACCCAGCTCCCCCCAGACACCCCACTTTTGTCTTGAGCAGTCCAAGACCTTCACCTCTCTTCCTCTGCCTTGCATAGTCTGCCCTTCCTGATTCCTGATTCCCGAGGAGTCTACAGCATCGTTCTACATTTCCTCCCAAGGCCCTTCATTTCTTTCCATTAGCGTTACTTGCTTTTCCATGAACTGAAAGGCCCCTGTCTCAATTCCCCCTCCCCCCCCCCCAGGGAATTCTTCTCCCTACTCTTATGTTTATCAAATTTACGCATATTCTCCCTCGATCTGGGCCACGGCTTTAAAGCTTCTGATGCTTCTGTGCCCTCCAAAGCCCTAAACAGAGCATTTTCACAAGGACCACTGGTTCTCAAATTTTCAGATTCAGGGCTTTCCTGAGCCGAATAGTCTTTTATTTCCACTGACTTCCCTTCCCTTTCACACTACCCCAAGTCTTCCATATCTACTTCTTTTGACATCTTGTGGTTTGGGGGAGTTCTTGGCTTTCACCACTACTAAACATACTATAAAACGTGATGCCAACATGATAATTGAAGAGTCCTCCATGGTTGAGTATCCATAGGCTATAGGTAAAGGATGAAGCTATTAGTAAAACTTTACTGAAAAGATCCCTGTGCACATTTATTCCAAACCTTGCCGGAATCCATAGAGCTACTTGTGGGCCCTGGATTCATTCCTGTCTTTGTGTGATTCCCATATTGCAGGGTGCCAGTTGCCACACCCCTGCAATACTTTACAAACTGATAGAACCTCTCCTCCCAACTTTAAGAATGGCCCATGTCTGATTCAACAATTTTAAAAGTCTGTCCAAAGGGTGTTCGTTGAGATATAAAAATGTGTCAGCCTGTGGCATGCTTTCATAGCAACTGGAAAAGAGGATCTTGGAGAATCTGGAATTTTCTGCTTTGAATATATAATCCTGTTATACCAGTCAGATCCCTATAGTGGGTATTCCTATGTGATTGGTAACCACTATAAGGTGCTGCATTTTTATGTTTGGGCAAGACAAGGCTTGACATAAAGTTAAGGTCTGATCTTTGTTTCTTTAAAGTTTATTGATTTCACCCTTACCAGAAGGCATTGCTGTCAGTTTGTCTTGACCAACTGCATTTTACCATGTTCATCTTTCCTGTTTATCTATTACTTAGAACACTGACTTTGTGATTACTGTTAGGCACCCTGTTCCATTAGACAACAGGTAGGACTAGCCTGTGGAGAGCAGATGAACTGGAGTAAAATGAAAATTAACTTGTTGAGAACATTACTTAGAAAGTTTCTTGTAAGAACTCTTTGGATGTGTTACTGGGAAACATTTTTCTAATATATGTACTTCTTTTAGGAAATGATTTGATCATCTTTTTGGCAGACCAGAATGTTCCCTATTTTAAACCCAAAGTAAAAGTATCTTTGAAGTAAGTACGCATATATTTGTTTCTATAAAACATTACTTGTTACTGTAAAATAGATATGCAGTAAGAGGTATTGTCTTTGAGATTAATTCAGTGGTGTTATGACACAAAAATTTGAGAGAGTAATTTTTTAGGAAAAACAGTGAACTTACTAAAAGTTAAAAATAAATGTGAGTGTGTTCAAGTTTGTTTTGCATGTTTAGCAATCACTCTTATACTCAGCGTCCCTGAGACAGCAGTTCACAGCTCTAATCAGGTCAACTTTTATATTTTGTGGGAATTGAGGGGGAGTATCACTGGGGGAAAGGTCAGTGACCTTGTAATTTTTGTTTGCTCTTTGACAAGTGATGAGATTTTAAGGTTACATTATTGAAGGAATTTAAGTCAAGCTGAGTTCTTTTAAGTTTTTTAATATTTTATTTTATGACTTGCATTGTATAAAATACTGATTCCAATCTATAGTAAACTATCTTAATTTTGAAATCACAAAAGAATTAATTGCTGTCTGGCTCAAGGAAAAGAGATGGATCAGTGCAAATCCTCTAGAAATTATGTGACTTGAGCTTCACCAAGAAAACAGTGAGGACTTTTTAAGTTTCTGGACACAGCTTTCACCAGATATCACGGGCAAAACATGTGAAGAGGAAATAGAAAGTTTTGCCTGACAGAAATCTAAGATATACAATGAAAAATTATGAAATAGAAGTATCAACATAGTGAGGGTGAACTTCTATAACAAATGGGGAGTCATTTCAAGTTCTTGTTTAATAAATTGCTGATGAGAAATTATCTTATTTATTAACCGTATGCATGATGAATTGGTGTCTGGAAATGTCAGAAAGAAATTTTGAGAATTTTAAGTCACCGTATAGGCTTTCTTCAATGCAAGTATTTACTTTCTCAGCTTTTGTTTAGTTGATCTATCGAGAGATGACAGCTTGACAGCTGTGTTGAAGTCACCATCTACTATTGTGTTGCTATCAGTGTCTTTCTTCAAGTCTATTAGTTGTTTTAAGTATTTTTCTGGTCCCTCATTATATGCATGTATATTTAGGAGTGTGAGTTCTTCCTGATGTACATATCCCATAATCATTAAGAAATGATCTTACCTGTCTCGTATAATCGTTTTCAGCCTGAAGTCTATGTTGTCTGATACTAGTATGGACACCCTGACCTTTTTTTATTTTTTAATAATTTATTTATTTATTGAATCACTGTGGGAAAAGTTACAGAGCTTTCAGGTTTAGGTCGCAGTCATGTAAATATCAAACACATTTCCCTTTACCAATACTTATTTTTTACCACGAACCCCAATAGAACCCCACCTCCCACCCCTCCCAATTCCTGTGAGGCAGATGAGTTCTAGTTAACACTCTATCTACTTTGACTAGATTCATTGTTTCGATAAAGGATGCACCATTATTATTTAGAGTTTACCCCCCCTCCCCAAATCAGACATGCTGAAAAAGCGTTGTGAAATTATTTGCTTTCTACAGCTGGGTTCAAGAATTAAATGTTGGTTTTGGATTTCTGCTATTTTACTTATTAACCCTGGAAGTATTTCTACTAAAAGTCAGATAATTAAGAGATTGGTTTCTGTGCTCTGGAGTCGTGGCCGTGCTGGAGAGCCGCTTGTGGGGAGCAACTGGTGACTTCGGTAGGGCGTGAAGGATGGGCCGGAACGCCCCCCTTCCCATGAGGTTTTTGTCGCCCCCGACCCCCAGCTCATACCTGCTGTCCACAAGGCTCCCATGCAGCCGCCATCTTTCTTTCCAGAGAGGAGAGGGTGAATGGGGCAACACCCTTTCCCCTCCGGGCAGACATGATGGATGGCCTGGATTAACGCATAGTCCGAGCTTTTCTGCTCCAAGCTGCTGGTTTTCTGCATTAAGTCCTTGTGCTTCTGGGGCCGTGGCCGTGCAGGAGAGCCGCTCGTGGGGGGGCAACTGGTGACCTTGGTAGGGCGTGAAGGACGGGCCGGAACGCCCCCCCCCCCCATGAGGTTCACCCTGACCTTTTTGAGGTGTTTGTCGAATTGTCTTCCAACCTTTGATTTTGTGTACTATTTGCTGTGATTGTTCAAATGTGTTCCTTGCAGGCAGCAGAGTGTTGGGTTCAATTTTCTAATCTATCTTCTCACTCAATGACTCTTAATTAATTGGTACATTTAATCTATTGGCATTGGGGAAGGTAATTGTTAGGGAATTTGTTCTATCTTTCTGCAGGAGTTTAGCTGGTTGTGGGGCTTTCCTTAAAGTAGCCTTTTAGTTCTTGCAGCAATGGTTTTGAGTCTTGAAGGTTCTGATTTGTTTTTTATCTGTGAAGTTGTGTTCATATCTGAATGAGAGTTTGGCTGGGTAAATTATTCTTGGTGAGGTGTTTAATTCATTGATTTTTTTTAAACTATATTTTACATTTCACTACTTTCTCAATACTAGAGTATTTCATTTGATAAATGCTGTAAATCTTTGTGTGTGTGTGTGTGTGTGTGTGTGTGTGTGTTTAATTTTATTGAATCACCATGAGATAGTTATAAGCTTTCATGTTTGGATTACAATCACACAATTTTCAAACACCCCTCCATCCACCAGTGCACATTCCGCCCACCAGTATTCCTGGTATAACCCCCCTTTTTCACCCTCCCCCTGCCTCCATGGCAGACATGATTCCCCATAATCTCTCTCTACTTTTGGGCATTATGGTTTGCAATACAAACCCTGAGAGGTTATCATATTTGGTCCTTTATCTACTTTCTGCACACATCTCTCATCCCGACCGATTCCTCCAGCCATCTTTTTCTTAATGATCCGTTCTCTATTCCAGCTGCCTTCTCCCCTTTGGTCATGAAGCAGGCTTCCAGCTATGGAGCAATCTATCTATCTATCCC